CTTCCCGTGTTGTTTCAACACTGTATAGAAAACTGATGTGTCCAGAGCATGAAGCCTGGGTAAAATAGTATGGAGGATAGGCTGTTACCCAAGCAGCAAATCTCCCCTCTCCATGTCGCTGAAATAGTCCAATGAAAAGGCAAGAGCTAATACAACTGGTTCCAGCGATGTCGCAGGAGTTGACAGAATGACATGAACTGCCTCTGGGACTCCTCCGGATTTTGCCTTGAGGTTAACTCCTGAAGCCTTTTCCATCAGTGGATATAGCCACAAGGCAGTGGAAGTTTGAAATCAGAGTTTTCCTTCTCTTAGATGGGCTGCCTTCAAAGGTTGACAAGCCCCACCTACCTGGCCTGCTCTCTAATAGTGTGGAAGTATGATCCAACCCCTAAAACTTTCCTGCTCCCCAAGTGTATTCAATGCTATTTGGCTTCATTATTTACCAAATTAGAGTAAAAAATAGAATCAGAAAATTTTGCTTTAAATGAATGCTTATGCTCACTTTCATTTAAAGCTAAACCCCAGCCCCCTCAGACGATGCGGTCAGGGAGAGCAAAGGTCAACCTAGAGGGAGAGCAAAGGTCAGCCTAAAAAAAATATCACACCAAATAAAATGTCTTCCCAAACACAGCTGACCTCCTACCTCAGTTTCCTCTTCAAGAAAAGGGCTTAGAGCTACTGCTCGCATTCATTTAAAGCTAAACTCCCCTCCCCTCAGCCCATGCGGTCATGGAGAACAAAGGTCAGCCTAGAAAAAATACCACAGCAAATAAAATGTCTTCTTTAAATGAATGCAAGCAATAAACCCTACACTGAATGTTGTGATGCCAGTTACAACTTCAGTGAAGTTTGAAAACTAACATCACCACTGCAGTGCAAAACTACGTATTATCCCTACAGATGCCAAACCTGCAAAGATAACCAGAAAGCAGGAACCGGGACCAGGAGAGGTAGGTATTTGGAGGGTTGATTCAACAGGCAGCACACTCTGCCTCTCCTGTGCCTGAAGATATTCTGTAAATTTCTACCTCTAAAAATTGACTTTCACCTCAACCAGGCTTACCTACCAAAACTGGGGTTGGGGAAGTGATAATAAAGTGAGGTGTAGAGCCTTTGAAGGGGCAAGGAAGACTTCAAACGCATGCTCTTATTCATAGATGCTCTCCTCCAGTTGCCTCCTGACTTCACATTTGCCTTATGAGGAAAACACAAGGTTAGAACCCCTATGTTTATCTCATAAGTTTTAATCACCTCTGTCTTACAACATATGTCAAATCAAAGTTTTGATGCAATTTCTGATGTGCCTACTAAGGAGAGAAGGGTTATTGCTTTTCTGGCCCCCAATTCCCAAATGCCCATTCTGGCTGAGGTGTTTTGAGAGTTGCAGGCCACCCACCCAAAAAGATTTCCCCTTCCCCCTCTGGTGCTGCGGCTGATAGTAGCCCTCTGCAATCTCAAGCGAAGGGCATATCTGATCCTGAGAGTAACATGTCCAACATTCAGACATTCCACAGCCTGCACATTATATGAGGGTCTCTCAAAAGGTTGTTTAATTCTATGTTTATTTTAGTGAAGTGCAGACTTGTTGGGCTGCCAATTTGTGTAGCTGCTTTTCCTGTCTGCTGTTTTTCTGATCAAACTCTTCTCCCTCATCCTACCTTTTCTTCTGCAATGGGGAAAACACAGGCTTCTCTGTATTCGTACCTGTGCAGGTGGGAAAACAGTTTTAAGGGGCAATTTGAACACAAAAATAACCTCTTGTGTGTCCTTTTTTGTGATTTGGTCCTCCCCAAGTCTTCATTACAAGGAGGGAAATGTGTGACTTAAATCTTCTGGAACAGGTAGCTTGGCTCTTGTGTGACTTCTGCAACTGTCTTGAGCTTCTGTCCTCTACTTTATGGTACAGCCAGGAAGCAGCATTTGTCTGCCACTCATGATTTCCCCCATATTTGAGACACTCAAGCAGGATGTCCAGACCAGGAGGTAGTTTCTGGGTTTGCTGAATGGGTATTCTGGGAGATGTAATCCAAAAGAGTAACATTTTCAAGTTCCAGAATGAGCTTAATCAGAGCATGAGAAAACCTCCCAAATCCTGAAAATAGCCAGTGGTTACACAGTATATGTAAAAGCAAATAATAGGGTGCTTTTTCTTTATGAAGGGACATGGTGGCGCTGTGGGCTAAACCGCAGAAGCCTTTGGGCTGCAGGGTCAGAAGACCAGCAGTCGTAAGATCGAATCCACGCGACGGAGTGAGCGCCCGTCGCTTGTCCCAGCTCTCGCCAACCTAGTGGTTCGAAAGCATGCAAATGCAAGTAGATAAATAGGGACCACCTCGGTGAGAAGGTAACAGCATTCCGTGTCTAAGTCGCACTGGCCATGTGACCACGGAAGATTGTTTTCGGACAAACACTGGCTCTATGGCTTGGAAACAGGGATGAGCACCGCCCCCTAGAGTCGAACACGACTGGACAAAAATTGTCAAGGGGAACCTTTACCTTTACCTTTACCTTTACCTTTTTCTTTATGAGTTATTGGTATATCATCATCATGTGCCATCAAGTCAATTCTTACTTACGGCAACCCTTTCCAAGGTTTTTGAGGTATAAAGTACTCAGAAGTAGTTAACTACTCTCTTCATCTGAGGAGCACCCCGAGACTGTGCAGCTTGCCCAAGGCTACGCAGGCTTGTTTTTCTCACAGGAGGCACAGGAGGGAATCGAGCTCCCAACCTCTGGCTCCGTAGTCATACACCTAACTCATTGAGCTATCCAGCCAGCTTTATTGGTATATTCTCCCCAATAAAAACTCACTAGCAATAATTGAATTGGGCCCATTTATTTGTTTAGCCTTAATGTGTCTTGATTAAAAGCTGCCCAGGAGAAACAATCTGTTATGAAAATGGGTGTGGGTGGGAGGGAGAGACGTATAAACTGTACCACAGGAGGCATTAGGCTGTTCTTTAAGGGAAAAGATATTGCTATTTTAAGTATCAGCTAAAGCTGCTTATTCATGGACTCCCCCCCCCTTTTTTTTTAAAGAGATGTCCTAGATGAAATTCATACAATGATATTTGGAGGAAAGGAATCCAACCGAAACATTTATATAACCTTTAAATATTAATATTAGTAGTAAATAATACCTGAACATCTGTTAGCCCCACCAAGGTCATTGGTGCTGAGATGACTCTGAAAGGGTCAAAGCTAATGTACTCTCCTATGAGGACAGGAAAATGCTCTACCACCTACATGGGGGGCTTCCCGTGTATACTTCCTTCGTGTTGTGGTTTTAAAGGAATTTTAACACTCAGTGTTTAAAAATGTATCAGTGTTTTAATGTCCCACATGAGAAAATAGATGTATGTGAATAAATATTTCATTTTCAGAACTTCTGGATAGCTCAGTGGTTTAGGTACCTGGCTGTGGAGCCAGAAGTTGGGAGTTCGATTCCCCACTGAGCCTCCTTGTCAGGGGCTGGACTCAATGATCCATTGGGTCCCTTCCAGATCTGCAGTTCTAAGATGATGTGTTTAATGAGACATTGTGCACAAGGAGGATCTTTGTGACCTTCTGTCTTATTGCAAATACAATTCTCAATTTTAAAAAGATCATTTGGAAAATGAGGTGAACTGAAGGAGGGTTTGATAATGAGAGCAGAAACAGACGTCATAGATAGGCCATGAATTAGAAGAGGAAAAACTTACAGGTAATCATATGTGACTGTCACTTGGAGGAGTAACTACATTAGGAAATAATATCAGAAGCTGGCGTTGGGATAGTGATTCAAATTATTTTCCGTTGAGTACATAAGTCACTGAGAATCAGCTCAGACATTCCCTTCCCAGCAGATTTCTCTCTCGCTCTCTCTCTCTGCTGCTGGGGCTTCTACTTTTTTAGGCTAGTGAATGCATTCTGATTGTTTGGGTGGTGTGATCACTTGAGCTGATGCAGAAAAGAATGGATAGGGGTGCTGGTAGTCGGCTGGGTAGGGAGAGAGGATTCAAAGAGGCATTCACAGGGGCATTAGTACCCTTCAGTTATCTTAAGAGACCATTAAGGGGACTTTGAATCTTTGCTAATAATGCAACTCCTTCCTTCCTTCCTTTTAAAAAATAATAGTACAGTACTGCAAGAAACTTACATTAGGATACCTAGGAGAAAAGAAAAAGAAAAAGGCAGAGAGAGGGGAGGAAGAAATTGCTAACCAACACTCCTTTGCAGCTTGTCAAGGTAGCTCTGCTGTAGCCATGCCTCCTACAGATCTGGAGAGCTACAGGAGAAGCTGCCTTAACAATCTGTAAACAAGGGATGATGACTAATTTCCTCCTCTCTTTCTCCTGACTCCTGTGTGGAAATCTAAAGCAAGTTCACCCAAGAAACCTGACTTTCCAGGTGCAATTTCACAGTGGATACATGTGGATGTTTTCTGCTGCGTAGTCTCACCCTTAGTTTCAAGAACTTGTAAATTAACATGTACTGTATTATCTGCAGGATTCTTGGTTTCCCAAACATGAAAGACTGCCTCTGTCATGACACTCCAACAATAACGTTCTTTCTAATTACAGTTTACCTATGACTTCTGGTTCTTCCCTCTGAGAAAGCAGTACTTTTCATGTGCTCCTGGAATATCAGAAAGATAACTGTATTCTTTTTCCAGTGCCACAGAATAATTCCACAAGTCAACTGAGGTTGTACCGTTGGACCTTGAGTAAGAAAATGCCTGATTTAAAAAGTCTATTCTGAACAGTTCCTCAAAGAGTTGAAAAAGAACAAATTTCTTACCTCCAAAGGCAGGTCTCATGCTAAAATCATGGTCATCTACCCTCAGAAGCTGTTCACTTTTTCCTGTCCTTGTTTTGGTCATGTCATGGTTTTTTTTATATATGTGGCTAAAACAGAAAACAAGAGTATCAGCTGTAACTTCTAGACTTGAAACACCAGACTAGATAAACAAATCCTGAAAACTGAGCTTTTCCTGTGGAAAGCTGTACAAATGAAAAAAAACATGGAAATTATACTTCAGAACAAATGAATGCTGTGTAGCCATTCAGCCACATAGCTGTTGTGGAACTGGAAATGCATCTTGCTATCAGCTTGTTCTGTGGTTGTAGCATATTACTCGGGGGATGTGAGGAAGTCGTTTGAGAAAAACAGGGACAATGTGGCACTGTAAAACCCCACACGTGTCACAGGAGTTTATATAGCATCTCCTGTGCTGGCTTCTACCACCCTACACTGTTCTGCATGAGTGTGAGCATGAGCTGAAACACAGGACCTTTTGTGGATTATAGCTGTCAGAAAGTTATTTTTTCTAAGTTCTGTGTAGGAACTGTTAGATCATTCCGATTAAATGGATTGCCATCAGCTATTGTAATGTTTACAGGAGATTCATTCCACAGATTCTAGCAATGTTCCAAATGACTGCTATCCAGTATATCTGAAGTGTCATACTGGATGGCTAAAATTTTCTGTGACAACATGCTAGTTCCTTGTTTCAGCAGAGACAACAATATATGTCTTTCATAGTCTGTGGAAAGGCAAGAGAACAAAGGAACAGAATCAAATGTGGACCAGGAGAAGAAATCTCGCAATACCGCTGCATGAATGTATCTGTACTATTATCAGTCTGATACCTCTTTAGTGGCTCCATTTGAAGGATTCCTGAGATTTGTAGCATGATGACATATTTAGAATTATCTATGGTATTTAAGGACAGTGCACTGAAGCTATTTCAGTGAGAAATCTAGATACCTCACCAAATGACAAATTATGGGGGGGGGGGGGAAGATGTCTCTTAAAGTGGTTTCAAAATGCTATACAGTATCTGTGCAGTATGGATAATCACTCTATAGAGAAATTACTTACTCAGAAATAAGGTCTTGAGTCGTGTCCTAAGGATAGGTGTACATGTACAGTATCTTCCCTTGCACACAGGTTTAACCCTAACTGAATATTGTCTGCTCCGCACACAGACTTCAATCAGCATTCCATTCCAATAGTCCATTCTGCAAATCAACTATATGATTGAAGCTTGTACACTACATCTATGCTTCAAGATAAGTAGTTTGTATTCAAAGGTACTATCTCAAAAGACTGCTGATGGGCTCAAGGACCATAGATACAGGACAGCATCTTGGATCAATATGACGGATCAGAAGGTCTCTTTTGGATCTTTTCTGAACTGTCACAGGAGATGGACTTGGTATCTATGGCTTGATAAAGACCACAATACAGTAAACAAGCCATAGTATGAAGGAATGAACAATTGCCAGTGCTGATGCTGACAAAAAATTTCATGACTGGCATAAAATCATCAGTTCACTCAACCAATACATTGTACATTTGCATCCAGTTATAATTTGTTCAAATGCATGTATACTTTTGAGTATGTATACCCACCACATAGACACACTTTCCAGTGATGCCAATGGGGGATAACACACAGATTGGAATGCTTGTTCCTTAAATATAAACAATATTTATATTGTTGCATAGGGTGCTGCACAGGGTGCAACAAAGATCAGTTTACCTGCATCCTTCTTCAACAGCTTCTCCACTGAATACCTTGAGATCTGTCCATATCCAACTTTCTTTGCACATCGAAATGTGCCTCCATCCACATTATATTGTCCGAAAGGAGATATTATGTGCAAATGCTTCACAATCATGTCCACAGTTCACATTCAAACACTTCACAATCATGCCTGACTTTGAAGGTATCAGTGCAGAACTTACGTGAATCTATGTACACAACTGTCTTCGTTTACAAGTTTGTAAAACTTTAATTATGGTGCAGTTAGAGATCGGTTAGCTAGCCAGTTAGCTGAGAGGAAAACCATCTAGTCTTCCAATCGTTATTGCCCCACATTGATTTAGGAGGCAGAATCAGAGTAAAGCCCTTTGCCCTAGCAATGAGACGTGTATAAGCCACAGAGGAAACTTCATATTGCTTCTTTGCATTATCGATTGCTCTGGCCTTGTGTCCTTAGAACAGGGCTGGAACAAAAACGTTTTGCTTGTTGAGGTAAAGAACGAGATGGTGCTCCAGAATGTTCCATATACTGATGTCAACTGGACTGATAGCCTTTCATCAACACTGCTTGGAGGTACAGCACCTTCTATCACTACATTTTAAGCCAGTTGGCTAAGTTAAGAGGTACAGGGCGAGATGCTTAACACACAGTTGATACGTTCAGCTGCAGTTACAATTCCAAGGTCACACAAAACAGTTAGCTACCACTATTGTTGTAACGTGCTGTTAGGTCACCTTCAACTCACGGCAATTCTATGAATGAGCGATTTCCAAAATGTCTGTCCTGCTCTGCTCTTGCAGTGGGCTCTTCTAGGAAGTATTTCCATCTCGTATTTGGTCTCTTTTCCTTCTCCCTCCCACCTTTCCCGGCACTATTGTGTTTTCCAGAAAACCTTGCCTTCTTATGATGTGCCCAAAGTATGACAGTTTCACCATTTTTGCTTCCAGAGATAGTTCAGGTTTGATTTGATCTAGAACCCATTTGTTCATCTACCATTACGGTTACAATTTTTAGAAATAATATTTATTTTCCTGTTTCCCTAAAGGGAACAGACAGGACTTCTTTTAAGTGAAGGGCTGAATTCAATTTGAGGTAAGAGATCAGGGCCCACATTCTGGTGGTGGGAGGGAACAAAGGCAAAAGTGGGAACAAAAATGTCACCATATGTTGGTTTAAAGCTCTTATTTCCAATAGCTAAGACTTAGAAGAGGCATTTCAACTTTTTATAATGAAAAAAGTGGGCAGTTGGACGACAGTGCAGAAGTAGGGCAAGCACCAAAGAATGGTGCCATGCTGGAGGAGGAGGAGGCATGACCATCTTGGAAAACCCAAAGAGCTTTCTTGGGGCCACAGGAGGGTGGCTTTGTTCTCTTGCCTAAAGTTCCCAATTCCTGAAACTAAAAAAGTACTGCTATATGAATTTTGTACTACTCATCTATAGAACGAAATACACACACAACCTGCTTACTTGGAAGCATGTAATAATTCCTACTTTACCATATAGTGAGACCACTAAAATGTTACAACGATGTCACAAAAGGAGTAGTTATTTCCCTGTCAATGTAAAGTATTTATACCTTTGTGATTGGAAAAGAAATTAATTACAAGTCACTACTTCATGAAATGTGACCAAACTCCAGGAGGCAGTGGAGGACAAGAGGGCCTGGCGTGCTCTGGTCTATGGGGTCACGAAGATTCGGACACGACTGAACGACTAAGCAACAACACTTCATGAAAGAATCTAGTTATTTGTAACAAGTTACTACCAAGCATTAAACTAAATCCATACTCATGCAGAAACACTGCCTGGGAGCTTTGATGTCCAATTGTTCTTATTTGTATTCATTCAAAAATGAACTCAGTCCTGGGAAGATCTTGTAGCTCAAAGAAGGAACACAAGTTTAGCATGATGACTATCCCAGTTCAGTCCTTGGCTTCTGCCAGGTAGGATTGGGAAACGCTATTGTATGAAATGTCAGGAGGTCATATACTGTAGACAATATTGAGGGTCAGTATAGACAATGCTGAGCTTCGATATAAGGCAGCTTCTTCTCTGCATCTAGATTTGATTCTAAAAAGTGTGCGTCTAGATCAGTGGTTCTTAACCTTTGTTACTCGGATGTTTTTGAACTGCAACTCCCAGAAACCCCAGCCAGCACAGTTGGTGGTGAAGGCTTCTGGGAGTTGCAGTCCAAAACTCCTGAGTAACCCAAGGTTAAGAACCAGTGGTCTAGATTACCAGACCTTCTGGTAAATGCTTGGAATGCTAACTGTATCAGGATGAGTGTTAAGTAGTATATGTCCAGTACAAAGACTTAAGATTATGATCATAGTGATAGGAGAAAAAGATGACTTTAACAGAGGCTTTCCAGATCAAACAAAGAGGACTGATACGGCAGGAAGGAAATAATTCCAGGATTCTAGATGACAGGTAGAAAAGCATGCATGTTGCCCAGAGTAGATTAGACACCCAGAGTAGATTCATTTGAATCTAGATGGGCAGGCCAAAAGCCAAATAAATAAATAAA